AATTTATATGTTATTGATTAACAATTTTCATGTTAGAGGTTTTATATATCTAAAAAATTAACTCTAAAAATCTATGGCAACAATAAATCATGAGGGGACGCATATCTATATACGAGTTCTAAGACATAAAAAACTGTCCTTGTCGAGCCCGAATTTTTCTCTTTACAAAACCCATGAGCAAGAAGTTTGAGGGCTTAAACAGAATAGACCATTCAATAGTCTACATAGTTAACAACTTAAAAATCAAAGGAGAGAGAGAGAGAGAGCGCAAGGCATAGCAATTGATCTAAAAAAGGAGAGAGAGAGAATGTTCACAGCACGAACTGGAGCAGGCTTTCAGTTGAAGATCGCTCAACTCAACACTAAGAACTCAGTTATTATGAAAGATAGAGAGTGAGGACAATCACATTTTAATCTAAGGTCATATCTACTCAGAAATGAGTATTTTTGCTCTCAAATCAGTGGCAGAGCTAACACTGATCCGGTGCATGAGATACTAAATAAAAAGCAACAAAAACTGATCTAAATTTAACAAAATGATCTAAATAACTGAAAATAGGGAAGAAAGGCTACCTGGCCAGGCCAGTTGGCCCGAAACACCTGAGGCTTCGAGGCCTCGTCCGTATCAGGACTGCGACTATGATTTACAATTTACGTCCTCCGTGTCTCTCTTAAAAGTTGACTAAGCCTTAGCTTCGTTGAATGGGGTTTTTTTAGATCTAAGCTTGAAAGTTGCCGGCTAAGGTTTAATGTCTTAGGGTTTTTCTAGGGTTTCTCTAGGTCTAAAGTTTCTCTGGTCTCACTGTTCTTATCTCTGGTTTCCTAGGCACACTCTTACGGTCTAACCCTAAAATGGTTGGCCAAAACTTATTTTTAAAGGTCCAAAATCAGCTGGAATGGATATAGAGCGGAATTCCATTTTGATGGTCAAAGGGCTGGGAGGCATAGGCAGTGCCACCCAGACCAAAATGGTCTAGGTTTAGTGAACCTGTTGGGAAATGGGTTAGAAGATAACCTAGACTCGAAATATGGGATTTGGGCCAAACCAGGCTGGGCGACACAGGTAGTGCCGCCTAGATTAAATCTACCTAGAATAAGCAAATTCCAATTCCAAGGTGATTCATGGGATTTTATTATATTGCCTGTCAAAAATCAGGTCAAAATATAAAATTTTATTATTTTTACTTGATTTTTTATTAAAACAGTGCTTCTGCATAATTTTGGATCACAGGGCATGGACTATGATGTATGTGGTTAAGGGGTTTTACATAATAGTGTCGTCCTAAAGAATAAAAAATAGCACGGAATTTGTTAGTTTTAAAATGGGGTGTCTACATAAAGAGAGGATTTACTATTACAATTGAGTAATTGATCCCCATAACTCCAAAGTTCCCCTCGTAAACCCAAACCTTGGAAATAATCCGTCCCAAAAACTTCAAAATTCCCCTCATAAACCCAAAGTTGGAAATAATCCATCTAAATTAAACGTTCAGAATATGTATGTCACTAACATAAACCTGAATTTAAGAGAGAACCAAAACCTAAATTAAAGCTACACGAAAGAGCACCAATCCTATACTGGAGCACGTAGATTACTGTACATAACTCATGATCCACTCAACAGGACTCTACGAGAGGAACACATGATAGTGCGTACTCTCATTTTGAAATATCTTATACACCAATACAAATTTAAAATTTGACAATTTCTATTGTCAATATTATTTTTGTCATCTTTTGAGATTTATCCCAACTTTTTAGGGTTGGCTATAGGAATCCTTCTCCGCCATTATGCTCTATTAAGGGGCCATACCCTCAATCAGACGACAAGTCACCGTATCTTTTCTTACTATTTCTATCCATATCCTTTGGGACATTCCCTTCTACTACTGTTCCTCATTTTATGACTCTTGGAGTTAACCTTAAGTTCCTTCGAACATATTCATTTCAAATTCTATCTTTTACTGTATTACTATTTATCTATCTCAACATTTTCATCTCAGTTACATAATTAAAAAAGAGTGAAAAATCTCAAACAATGCATCGTTTAAACCATGCACATAAATTTATTTATTTTTATTATAATTAACTTCCTAACTAAATAGAAGGGAGATTATCGCTAATATACATTTATTTTAGTAAAATAGGAAAAAAAACCCTAACATTTCAAAACCTCACCTACACTCTTTCTCACAAATTTTGATTTTTTTTTTTTGACCAAAATGACCTTCACGATAGTCTTTTTACCGTAATACATTTTAAGCTTCACGGTAATTAAAACACCGTAAAAAATTCAAAGAGTATTATGATAATTTAAATATGCTAATATTTTGATTTATTATTACGGTAATTAATTACCGTAATTTGTGGGGAAGTCTTTACGGTATTCTTATTACTGTAATACTTTCTCGATCAATTCCAAATGCCTATTGGTTGAAAAGCTTCAAACCGAAGTTAATATCAGGGCAATCGCTCTCCTTCCGCGCTCTGTGAATCAGAGGAAAACTTATCAGGGCTACCCCTCTCCACGGCGTTTTGTGAACCAGAAGTAAAGCAGAATTCTAGAGAGAACTCGAGCAAAGGGATTGGTAAGGTTGGGAACTTTCAGTAGAGGTCTTCGGTTGTGGCTATGGAATTGGGGTCTTTTTTCTCTCTTTTCATGATTTATACAAGTTTTTAACGTATTTATTGTCTATAATAAAAGTGGATTTTTTTTCTTCTTTTTTTTCTCGGTTAACTGGTTTTCATGAAAGAGTTGTGCATGCATGCAAATTTACTTGAAAAATTACCAAATTTTGTCAAAAAAAAGGAGGAATGATTTTTCATGTTCAGTCAATTGGGTGGTCGAAAAAAGTTGCAGATCTTGCCGTGAACCGGAGTCGGTTAATGTTGATCAGGAACCAAGAGTTGAGATTTTTTATGAAGGGTTAGAGAGAGAGAATTGGTTTCCAGAGCATTAATGGGTTCCTTTACAGAGGTGAGAAAGTCAACAAAAAGTGTGGAAAGAGGAAGGAAAGATGTGGGTTTTTGCAGAGAAGTGTAGAAAATGCATGGGGAAGGGAGAAGAGGCTGGAGGTTTGATTATGGGAGTCTAGAGAGAGAAAATATTCGAAAGAAAGAGGCTCGGGAGAAGTGGATATTTTTTATATCTGAGACAGAGACGCAAACAGAGAGAGGGAGTACTGTAATATGTGCAAGACATTACGGTACTTCAAGTAACGTAATTTTATGTTAATACATTACAGTAATTAAATTACCGTATAAAATGCCTAAGAATTATGGTATATAAATTACCGTATGGAACTTTCTACAACTTACGGTATTTAAATTACCGTAATGAGAATTACGGTAAAAAGACTACCGTGAAGGTTAGTTTGGTAAAAAAAAAAAGTGTAGGCGAGATATTGAAAATTTGGGATTTTTCCTTTTTTTTTTTTTTTCTGATTTTACCAAAATATAGGTATATTTACGTTTATTTCCCTAAATAGAAAAGTCTAGAATAAGGCAGCCTTGTTGTTTCCACTTTCATAAAACTCAAACTCAAGACATAGCCCATTTCATTTTATAGTGAATTACTTATGGATACAAAAAAAACTAATAAAATGCAAAATTAATCAATTTTGAGTTGAAATTAAGTGGAAGGTCGGTCAACTAGAGGTTTTTTATTTTTTTCAAAATTGCCCCTCAATCCGAGGATGGTATCCTCTGACTGCATTTTTTTTTTTTTTTTGAGATTTTTGATTGTAGGTCTATGCCCTAATGTTTGGGGTAGTCCCCAATCGGTTCGATGTTAGCATCATCGGACTGCCTTCTATGGTGCTCTTCAAAACGGTTTGAGGTTGGCATCTTCTGACCTCAAAGAGTGACTTTTTAAGCATTCAGAGGCGGTCTGAGCTGCCTATTCTCGGACAACCTTCTCTGGTGCTCTTCAAGGTTCTCTGAGGTTGACATCCGCGGACCGCACTAACTCATTTGTTTGTTAAGAAATAAGGCGGTCCGAGGATGCCAACCTTGGACTGGTTACTAGATTGGGCACTGCCCCTTTACATTAGGGCACTACCTTACTAACGAAAAAACTAAAAAAACTAAAATATAAAAACGAAAAAAGCATCTGAGGAAGCCATCCTCGGACTTTCTTGCAATAAGCAAGGGCGCTAACGAATCAAAAAATACAATTTGACAACATAATTTTCACCCAAAATTAGCCTATTTTGTATTTTCCTATTTTTTTGTATCTGTAAGTAAATTAATCTTTATTTTAATTATATCTTTTTTATGTTAACATGACAGAACCCATTGTACTGAATTACTGATGAAGAATACGAATAAAAAAAAGAGAGGATGTCATGGTCTTTCCAAGATGGAAAAGGTTTATATAAGGTGTCAACTTTATATTGTATGACTAAGATGCACTTAAAAAGCCCACTTGATACGGGTTTTCCTATGCCGGAAAACCCTTAAATTGATCATCCGACATCGAGATTCATAGACATGAAAAAAAAAAAAAGGATTTCTAATCCTAAAAATACTTCGTATTCTAACACATTATCTAGACCGTCTATTATCTAGATTTTCAAGTGTTTATAGATCTTCTTGATCGTTACCATTGCTAGAACTTTCAATTTTATAATAGGGAAACAATAGATTTTCGTATCATCACAAGGCTTTGCGACCCCAAAAATGCATTTTTCCGCATAATTTTTGTTCCTTACTTCAATAGAATAAGGTTAACACCTTATACTAACCTTACCCTTTCAAGATATCTCAAAGATCCCAAATGTATAGAAAACTAAAGAAGACATGGGAAAGAGAGAGAGAGACACCTTGTACAAAAAAAAAAAAGGAAAAAAAAAGAGAGGGCTTCATTTTATTGTTGACTTGGGCAAATCTCATGGGAATGTTTGGGACTTGGCACTGCTTTTCAACCTCTGACTGATGAGCAATTGGAGAGGACAATCCAGACCTCAAAAGATATGCTAAGAGCTTGTGTCACTAGCTTTATGGGAAGCTGGGATGACCATTTACTCCTGATTGAGTTTGCCTATAATAACATCTTCCAAGCCAGTATTCAGATGACACCATTTGGAGCCTTGTATGGAAAGAAGTGCAGGTCACTCATTTGTTGGGATGATATTAGTGAAAGAGGGCTTTTGAGGCCAGAAATCGTTCAGGTGACCTTAGATAATATAACATTGATTCGAGAGAAGCTCAAGATACCTCAGAGTCGGCATAAGAGTTACGTCGATAATCGAAGGAGAGACCTCGAGTTTGAGGTGGCTAATCGGGTATTCCTAAACGTTTCACCAACAAAGGGTATCATGAGGTTTGACAAGAAAGGGAAGTTGAGTCTGTGCTATATCAAACCCTTTGAGATCCTGGAGAGGGTCGGAAGCGTGGCATATCGACTTACCTTACCGCCCGAGTCAGCAAACATCCATAATGTCTTCCATGTATCTTTATTGTGAATGTATCAGCCCGACCCATCCTATGTCCTAAGATATGAGCCTTTATCGATCAGAGAGTATATGAACTTCATTGAGCAGCCAGTTCAGATACTGGATATGAGGGTGGAGCTGTTGCGTAACAAAGAGATTCCTCTAGTCAGTGTATTGTGGCAATATCATTCAGGAGGAGAGCTGGGAACAGGAATATGAGATCTGGGAAAAATACCCCCATCTTTTTTCAACAATCAGGTATGAAAAATTCTATAATGGGGAGAATGTGAAGACCCTAATTTCTCTGAAACTGAAAAAGAATTAAGAAACTTATAATAGTTCTTCTCTCCCTCATCATGTTCTCATAAAAATAATTCTATAATATTTTTAGATCTATTATATGAACTCATTTTTATGTTCCTTTTCCTCTAGAAACTCATTTGCTCTCTCTTCTCATCCCTTTAGCTAAATACCCTTGATTTTAGTTCTACTTCGGCAACGATAATAATATATCCATCCCACAATAACATATAGGTAAGTGACTTTATTTTTCCTATAAAATCATTAATAGAAAAAATGATATTTCTATAATATTCCCAGAGATATTTCTACATTTAATTGTAATATTTCTAGCATAAATTTTAGATACTGTAAGTGTTATATGCAAGTGCTATGTGCAGGTGTTATATGCAAGTGTTATGTGTTATGTGCAAATGTTATGTGCAAGTGTTGTGTGTAAGTGTTGTGTGCAAGTGTTATGTGCAAGTGATTGCTATAAATTGTTTCATGTGAATTCATGTTAATAATTTCAAGGATATTTTGAAAAAACAATATTATTGTTTCCTGATATCTACTACATTGATATATGGCTTGCAATTGACATAATAATGTCTGTTGAATTTATATGCATGATAATATGATATGTTAATGTCCCTTGTGACTATATGTATAGCATAGACATGTTGATGTTTCTTGTGGTTACATATGATATATGCTTCTAATAAGATATGTGTGCATGTAACATGCATTTGATAAGATATGTGTGCATGGTAACATGCTTTCGATAATATATGGTTGTATGGAGACATGCCTATGTTATGATCTGATGAGACATTTGTGTCGGGAGCTGTGATTTATCCTTACTCTCTATGATAGGCTGAGAGTTAGAAGTATATGTATTTAGGAGGTCGCACCCCCAAAATTTATGTGAGGCACTACCCTTTGGTAGTGTAACACTCTTTCACCAGAAGGGCAAATGAGATGGTCGTATCTTGCAAGGCCAATGCTTATCAAAAGCTTCAAAGCGCGCCTGGTGTTGTGTGCGTATGTGAGGTACTACGTAACAAATTTACGCGATGATGATATTTCTCAGTAAACTTTTAAACTACTAAATTTGTTAGATTATTAAACTACTAAATTTAGATTATTATTGATCTTGATATGAATCATGTGTTTGAGTGGACCCATCTAGAACGTTGGTAGGATATATAGAATACCTACTTGGGAAGCCAGTAGGGTACTCTATGAAATCCTTTGTATCATGTTAAACTGGGCATTTCTGATAAAGGATTAATAGATGCACTTTCTTATACTGGTTCAATATGTATTCAAATCTTCTGAATTATGTTAAATTGTGTGTTTCTGAATTTGAAATTGTTCTTCATGTATGTTCTTCCTCATATTATGCATTCTTTTTTAAAATATTTACAGTTTCCAACCATGATATTTAAGGATAATGATAGTTACGTACTGAGTAACCAAACTCATCAAGCTATTGTAAATTTTTCAGAGTAATCGTAGTCTTATTGTTCGTATTTATAGCATGAGTAGTTTGGAAGAAGTTTGTAGCCATAGATAAATTCACCTTTGTAACATTTGTCTATCAAAGTTGTATATATATATGGGGTGCAGTTGGCATACGGATGCATCCGTAGTTGTAGAGGTAATGTGCACCTTCAAATTTTATCATGGTATATAATTTTGATGTAAAATGTTTTTAGGATTATCTCAAAATCTATTTTTATATCTAATTATAAAATTTTAAATTTAAAAAATGGTTAAAATCAAGTAGATCTATATGAAAATCTTGAAAATGGTTGGTGTAGATAATATGTTGTAAAATGTACTATTTCTGAGTTATCAAATATTTTTATTTTTCATGGTCATACATCTCGATGTCGAGATGATCAATCAATGGGTTTTTTAACATTAAAACTACCTTTTTTTATGGATTTTTTAGGTACATCCGTAGTTCTACCTTATAAGGTTGCGTGTATATCATTGAGTGGTACAAGCTAAGGACTAGGCCCCTTAATCCATAATATCATTGAGTGGTACAAGCTAAGGACTAGGCCCCTGATCCATAATCTATTTAGGAAACGTCCCTCCAAATACTCACCTCGAGGTTATACTGATGAAGATAGAAAGGTAATGTTTTATTTTCATATTTCATATAACTTGATACATTTTAGAAGTCTCAATAATCTAATTTCATATTTCATATGACTTGATGGGGACTTCAACAATGAAACTGAACTTCTAAGTGAAGGGTATGATTCAAGAAATTGGGACCTAATTGGGGAAGGATTACAATTGCATAAACTTTATGACCCAAAAGTTCAAAGGGAAGAAAAATCTGAAGAATTGGAATTGGGTTATGAGATGGATGACCACGTGCCAGTCTGGCTTCCTCCTGGACCAAATGAAGGGCCAAGCAATATACAATCCATCCCCACACCAGTTCAACCAAAAGAGCCAAAATGGTAGTTACGTCCTCGTACTGCAAGACGGGAGAAGAGTAGCTCACAGCAGGAAAGTAGCTCAAATACATAGTTGCAGTTACTACAGTGGCGTCAGAAGTAAATAGTACGCCGCAAGCGTTCATGATCCTTATTTGTTGTAAAGAGGCCAGTAGTTCTTAAATTGTGTAAAGAGGCCATTAGTGTCTAATTACTGTTTTTATGAAAAGTTGAAATATAAATATCTTTTGGTACATGAATCCTAGCATGCTTTTGTACTCACCATATATGTTTGCGTGGTTCATACTCAACTCACCATATACGTTTGTATGGTTCATACTCAAATCACCATATATGTTTGTATGGCTCATACTCAACTCTCCATATATGTTTGTAAGGTTCATACTCAACTCACCATATATGTTTGTATGGTTCATACTCAACTCACCATATTCATTCACTTATTTGTTTGTATGGTTCATACTCAACTCAAAAAAAAGAAAACGAATTTTATGCATTACGGTCTTTTTATTGCCGTAATACACCAAAACATGTTTACGATAATCAAATTGCCGTAGTGACTATTACGGTAATTACCGTAATAATCATTATGGTAATTTGATTAGCCGATTTTAGAGCATTACGGAAATCCAAAGATCGTAATGCTCAAAATCCTACTCTACTTGTAAGCATTACAATCTATGGATTACCGTAATGCTCTAAAATGGGTTTACGGTAATCAAATTACCGTAATGACTATTACGATAAATTTATTACTGTAAAGGGTTGTTAGAACATTATGGTAAAGACAGTACCGTAATGTTCTAACAACCCTTTATGGTAATAAATTTACTGTAATAGTCATTACGGTAATTTTACTATCGTAAAGAACATTTGGATCACTATGGTAACCAAATTACTGTAATTTTTCATACCATATTTTTTTAAAAAAATTGTTAAACCAATTTAACCGTAATGGTGTAGATTGGCCTTTACGGTAATCAATCATTACGGTTATTAAATTGCTGCAATATTATAAAAGTCTATAAATAATACAATAAATATTGAACAAGGTACTCATCAAATAATTCAATAAGGGGATTGATAAGTGATCTAATCAAGAACTTTAAATATTTCTTTTACTAAACCAAAAAGTTATATCAGTAGGCACGGGCCTCTTTACAATTTCAGAAACAATATTACATATCAACAAAAGATCAAATAACAGTAATGGCCTCTTACATCATTTCATATACTTGATTTACATGTCTTCCGATTATGGCCCACAACCCCACATCGGCTACATTTAAGAGGCCTAATCTCTTTGTACTTTATTTGTCTGCGTCGTTTCTTTGGTCGACTCACGGTTCGCCTTACAACTGGCGGCAGTACTGTTGTATAGACAATCTCTAGAAACTCTAGTACATCAGGCATTGGGTTGAAACGAAGGGAATATGCTCTGTGAAAGAATCACTACAAAACTCTGTAACATCTTCATGTCTATGATCTATTGTGGCGATTGCATGACTGCATGGCAACCACTAACCTGCCACACCCTACAACTACATGTATGAGTTGTCAGATTAACAACATAAATCATATCCGCATTGATCTCATACATACCATTATGAGCCCATGTGACTGTATGAAGAAATCTAGACTTATCCCTCCTTAGGTCTATTACCTTTTGGGCCTCCGGTGTAAGTACGTCGTTTCATTCTAGGGACATGGTCATCTTCTTTGGAAATTCTCCCATGAGCTTAACCCATAGGCATTTAAAGAGTTCGATTAGGGGCTTCTCTCGAGCCTGTAATATCTCGAGCCTGTAATATCCACTGGTTAAATGATTCAGAGATGTTCGATGTAAGATGATTGTATCTACACCTCTGAAAATATGTGTTTGCCCAATATTTAGGATGTTGTAACATGATCCAGTTATAGGCCTCAGCATTTGCACTCTTAATCTTTGCCATGTATTCATCGAAGTCTGATATAGTCAATGCAAGTGCAGCTTTCCAATAAAGCTTTGTAAGTGCCGAATTTCTATAGACCTTTTTGAAGTTATCGGCAAGGATATTCATACAATAGCCTTGTTCAGTGATTGGAAATACTATTTCAATTGCGATTTGTAGCCTTTTCTGATGATCTGAGAGAATAGTCAATGCTGGCAAATCAGGCCTCTCAGAAAACTGCTCATTCAGAAGCTCTAGGAACCAAGTACAACTTGCTGCATTTTCACTCTCAACCACTACATATGTTATAGAAAATATATTTTCATTCGCATCTACCCCAACTACAGCCAATAATATCCCTTTGTATATTCCCTTAAAAAATGTCTGATCTAATCTTATTAGCGACCTACAACCAAACAGAAATTTATACAAACATGGACGATTGCCTATAAACACACGCTCAAACCTATTATGATCATCTGTAAGGTTATGGGGTTAGTGACTCATATCTTATGGAGATATTTTGCGA